ACCTCTCTGTCGATTTTAAAGCCACCTTCGACAGCACAAATAGGAACTGCCTCTATTCCGCTATGTCTGAGTTTGATATGGCTCAAAACTCATACTGTGTAAAATGACCATGAGCAATACTAAAAACTCCATCAGAATTGGGAAGGACCTCTCCGAGCAGTTCGATACCAAACGAGGTCACGACAAGGAGTCACTGTCGTGTGATTTCTTCAATTGGATGCACTGTTGACAGTCACACTTTCAAGTCGTTAATAACTTCACCTATTTAAGAACCAGTATTAACACCAACAAAAATGTCAGCCTGGACATCCAACGCAGAATCACTCTTGCCAAAAAAAGCTACTTTGGGCTGGGTAGGCAATTGAAAAGTAAAGTCCTCTCTCGGCGAACGAAAACCAAACTCTACAAGTCCCTCATCGTTCCCGTCCTGATATATGGTGCGGAGACATGGACGATGACGATGAGAAGGCACTAGGATTTTTCGAGAGAAAGGTTTTGCGTAAGATTTATGGTCCTTTGAGCGTTGGCAATGCCGAATATCCCAGACGATGGAACGATGAGCTGTACGAGTTAAACGGTGATATTAGCTTAGTTCAGCGAATCAGGAAGCAGCGTCTACGCTAGCTAGGTCATGTGAACCGGATGGATACGAATACTCCAGCTTTGAGAGCTTTCGATGCACTACTCGCCGGTGGAAGCAGAAGAAGAGGAAGATCTCCACTCTGTTGGAAAGACCAGGTAGAGAAGGACCTGGATGTACTTGGTATTTGCGCCAAACAGCAAAAAGAACAAACGAATGGCGCAGTGTTGTTAACTAGTTACAATCGCGTAAGCGGTGTCTACGCCAGTAAAGTAAGCAAGTAAAGTTAGTAATCTTATGTAGCGAGTCCGTTTTATTACCCGGTATACTTTTCAGCCCGACGACTAAGTAAACGTAGTTTTGGCAGAAAATAAATGCCTTACCAAGAAGGAAGCGCAGCGACGTTAGCGGCATAACAACTAATCTGGCCGGAGCACTTTGAGATTTGGTTAAAGAAAGTCAAATCGCAATTTAATATATATGTGGAGTATGTAACGACATCTCGAAATTAATTACCGCCATAGGGTAGAACGATCTTGTCAAGTATCCGGCGTCTTTTTAAGTTTACCCGAAAGTGGCAAATACTAACCTGAAGCAATGGATACATGAATGTTATTGTGAAAGCGAAGAGAAAAAAGCGCAAATGCGGCATTCTGAAACAGACTAAGGTTATAAATGACCAAGTCAACTTTACAACGAATTATGTGGTCTTGTAAAAAGCAAAGTCACTTGCGAATTTTCGAAATCACTTTAATTGTAGCGATTGCCTTCACATTCCAGAGCCATTTTATAAGCATCTAGCGCAAAATTACCAGATCTCCCCAAATTGGCTGATAAAATTTAAGAAATAGGCAATTTTCAGTAAATTGCACTTATTTCCACAAACAACAGAGGATATGTATGTTTACTCGAGTAAGATAGAGGAATCGAACGCCCCGAAATTATTTTTCAAAACAGTAACAATCGCTAAGGCTCCAATCGTGCACAACTTCGTAGTAGCCGTTTTAATGCAATCACCTCCGCAGAATACGTATATTGCTGGTATCACCAGCAACGTGGTGGGAATGCCCGTAAAAGCGACACGAAACTAAAAGTGAACTCTTTTGGGCAGAACCGCAAGCAAAGAAATCGCGACGAGTAAAATTAACAGGAGGCCAGCAAATACCAACTTACACATCACATCATAACTGTATGGGCACCAGCGTTTCTCAGACCAAAAGTCACAAAAATAAATTTAAAACAATTCAAATGTTGCCGATATCTTGGAAATGTTTGGGAATGTAATCGATGTATCAAAGGGACTCGATTTTACCTTTCCGTATATTATTGACATTTTAGTGACTTCCGATTCAGAAGAGGAACACGAATAACATCTACGAATAGTTTTCGAACGTCTATGATAAAACAACCTGACGATCGCTGTCGGAAAATGTGAGACATCGTAGACAATCGCAAGATTTCGACACATGTAAAAGCAGTTTCATTCTCTCTTCATAGTCGGCTTCATTGCTATCTGACATTAAACGTGTTTCCATTTTTTCGTGCCACCCTCTTCTCTTAACAAAAATATACGATTTTTAAATAAAAAATATGTGTAGAATTTTAATTTTTTTTTTTAATTTTTGAACAGTCAAAATCACTTAATATATTGTATTTTTAAATGCTTGACAGTGGACTTCATACACTCTCTTTCATGATAGATAGAATGGAAGAGTCTCGCCCACAAATTATATATCTATGTTTAAATCTGTGGTTTTTAGAGCAAATTCATTATAAAAACCTCATAATAATAAAATTTCCTAGAAATCGATAATGACTCGCTGAGCTTACCTGGTTAGCCTTATGATCAGTGACTCAAACCAGTCAATCTAAGTTTTGAAAAAAGCAAAACATATCAACTCTTTCCGTTTTATTTATCCATCGATCGAATCATTCCTTACGCCTGCTGCGTAAGAGAAGAGTCTTGAAACAAAAATTTTAATTGATCCATAAGTGTATTCAATATTTTACCATCTGCTTAGAAGATAACCCAAAATATATTTAAAAAACTTGAAAATCTTATAAGTGGCATAGTCAAAAATTTCTGAGCAAACACGTTTAGTGTCAAAAATTTCGAAGTGAAACTACCTTGTAGAAATTTTATATCATGTGAAAGACTACTCTTGATAGTTGCACACAATTTGACGACCGATTTCAGTGTATTAATAGTGAGCTAGCTACCAACATCCAGTGGATTTCATTATTGCCTTACGTATATAGACAGGCGTTTATGATGACCAGCGGATTTTAATCGACTTAGGACGATAATTTGAGTCTGAGTTATTTCGGTCATTAACACGATTGCTAGGTATACAGCATCTACATATGTACCACTCCGTACCACCCTCAAATGGTATAATTGAACGCTGGCGTCCTAAAATGAAATCAGAAAAAAAAGTTAATAAACGAAGAATGGGAGTTTTTCGTTACCTATAATGCTATTTGGTGTGTGTATGCCAAACCAGATATCGACGGGAGCCCGTCAGAGATAGTTTTCGGTACACTGCAATACGAAGGCGTAGATAACACTATAGCAACACTGACAAAACTATCGCAAAAATTCTCAACATCAGGACTTCGTGTATTGTGGTAAATATCAGCACCCGCAACCAATCTCACCTCGAAGTATATTGATCAGAAAAAAATTGCAGTTAGTAATAGTTAAATACCATGTCTGTGTTACAGATAAGATAAGTTATCGAACAGCTGATCACTGGGAAGTGACTTTATGCTTTTTTCTCTATCGCTTCTTGACCATTTTTACGCCCACCGTGAATATGATGCTTTTTGCTTATATGAGAGGATTAACAAAAGTTCGGTAAGTTGACCTGAAAAAAATTATTTTTTTGTATTTATTCGTAAGCTTTGTTAATTTTTATCTCCTCTACGAAATCGCCATTGATTTATATCAATGCATTTTTTAGATCCACTTCTGAAAACAGTCTTCAAAGTTTTGCTTTTTAACCTTATCAAGCTCAGCATTAACCGCATTAATTATCTCCTCGTTGCTATTAAAGACCTTTCCTTTTAAATTTTCTTTAATTTTTGGATATAACCAGAAATCACAAGGTGCTAAATTCGTCAATAAGGTGCTGGTAGCATTTTTTCGATCCCAGAGATCGCAATAAAATTACCCGTTATTTCAGCAGATTGGGATGGCGGGTTGTCATGTTTTAGCGCCCCAAAGTTTCTTTCGCCCTGTTTTCCAAGAAATGTTTGAAAACTTTAGCTGTACCATTTTGCAGCTGCCGTCTGACCCTTTTCCAGTGGAATAGCAGCTGCGATTTAAGATCGTGTTATGCAAATTTTAATTTTTTTTCAGTTACATACGAGATGAAGTCAAAAAGTATCACGAATTTTGAATTTTCGCGGGTTACGTATAATCGAATTTCGATTTTTTGTATCGTTATCTTGGTACTCATGTCTGTCACTTATGCCGACAAGCTCGGCCATTTTGAGTGTTCACTTAATTGTTGACAGCTGCTTTGCTTGCACGTGTTTTGGATGGTCTTCGATTTTACCTATTCAAAAAAAATGGATCAAAGAACACGTATCAAATTTTGTGTTAAAAACGAAATTAAGTGCGCGGATGTATTCCAAATGTTGACTGTAGCATACGGAGAAGCTATCTTGGACCAAATCAACGTTTATCGGTGGCCAAAAACAATACACTAATGATGCCGCAGCTACCGTATACCCCAGATCTGTGACTGTGACTTTCTCATGTTTCCTAAACTGAAGAGGCCCATGAAAGGACGACGTTACGCTACGATTGACAAGATAAAGACGGCATCGAAGGAGGAGCTGAACAAGATAAAAAAAATGATTTTTTGAATTGCTTCGAAGATTGGAACAAACGTTGGTACAAGTGTATAATATCTCATGGGGATTACTTTAAAGGGGTTAAAAAAGATATTCATTAATAAATAAATAATTTTTGAACACACACAATCTGCGATATTTTTAATTTTTTTTGTTTTATTTAAATTCATTTTCTGTAATTTTTGGATGCTAGACCAGGATTTGATCCCGAGCCTTCCGAATAGCAGTACGCGATACTAACCACTCGTCTACCGGCACACCACATGCTCATATATTATATATTTGGGCATACCGAATTTTCGCTGTTTAGCTTATATTTATTTATTGTCTGTATTATGCATAACGATTTTCGTTATTTGAATCCCAGGGAATATAGAATATGTAGATAACTCGAAAAATATCTACTGTTATCTTCATTCATATCTCACGTGCGGAAGCATAGTTCTGCGCTCCCTAACGGTTGACTAAGGCCCAGCACGATATCTTATATTGTCTTACACTTTTACCTTACTATCATTGACCTTCGATAGTCTTTTTTTAAATAATTATTTCGTTGCAGAATCGTTAGAAACAAGGCCGCGGAAAAGGCCAAACATGTACATCATCAACATCCACAACAAAGCAATAGTTGTTCTACTGGTAACAACGGCAGCTCAAATCTCAACGCTGCAGACAGTGTTGAAAGTAACGGCATTGATTTGCATCAGCAACCAAATAATGCCAACAACTTAAGTAATAATACAACATCAGTTATAGCACATACGCCTGCTACTGATGTAATAGGAAGAGTGCATATACAACAACCAGAACAGAGTATTCTCAATACAGCAGTGTCGAGCACAACTATTCCCCGTTGTGTCAATAGTAGCCAAAATAGCGGAGAAAACCGATCGACCGGATATAGCATAAATGGAATCCTAGGCATACAACATGCTACAGATGCAAATGAAAATAATTTTAAAAGAAAACGGATCGATGATCATGGTGAGTTTTAATTCCAAAAGTAATTTATATTAAAAAGTGATCGAGTTTCTTCATACCGAATTTGGAAAAAAAATTTAATTTTTCCCATTATAGTAAATTTGCAAACTTATTTTAGAAACAGTCAGTATTTACGAAACTTCCTCAACCTTTTTATTAAGATACCTGTAAATTTTATCTGCCTCGATATGCAGCGTAGATCTTGTATACAATCGCAGTCATCCCATGCGTGATAAAAACGGTTTTAACTAAATCACTAGCATTTACATCTGTTGTTAATAAATCAGTCTTAGCACTAGATTGCCGAAGGAAATCATTGTGTATGCTTTCCAATTAAAATCAGAAAAACAATGGTGTATGTAAAGACACAGTTTCTTAGAATTATGTGACTTTTTGTACTACACATAAAAGCGGGTATTAATCATAGTAGTTGCCTCTCCTTCTCTTTAATTTCCGGTATATCTTAGTGTTATACCTGTATTGCCGAAAAACAGTCATTTTGACTGCTTGAGAAATTTTTAACAATCAAATGACTTTTATTATTGCGTTGAGTAAAATTCATATATGACCGAATCGGCTCCGAATTCGCATAACAATTTATATATTTTTTGATCCCCGACTCTGACCTAAGCATCAGCATCAATTCCATATACGGTTACAAGTGAAACGATTCAAATAATCATAATGATGTTGTATGACTGTAAATTATATAAGAAACATTAAAAATTAATTTCAAACAAATTTATTTACACATTAGTTATTTTTCCGCAATGCAGTCACTTTGACTGCTTCAGGGCAATGTAGGTAAATAAAAAGTTTCCGTCCTTCTAGTGTTAATAGTCTCATCATATTATATTTTGGACTGAAATATTCTTTGAGAAAGTTATCCGGTAATATGTTTTGGGGCGGAGCGAGTGGCGTTTACAGCCGAATTTATAATATTGCGCTATTCATTTCTTCTTTTTTCTGTTTGGCGCCAATTGGAAATACCAAGTACAGACAGGCCCATCTCTACCTGGTCTTTTCAACGAAATAGAGGTCTTTTTCTTCCTCTGCTTCCACCGGCGGGAACTGCGTAGAATACTTTCTTATCCATCCGGGGCACATGACCTTGCCAGCGCAGCTGCTGTTTCTTGATTCGCTGGACTATGCCAATGTCACCATAAATCTTACACAACTTTCTCTCGAAAACTTCTAACGCTGATTCATCAGATGTTGTCATCGTCCATGCCTCCGCATCATACAGCCGTGTAGTGCCTATAAAGGACTTGTACAGTTTGGCTTTGGTTCGTCGAGAAAGGTCTTTACTTTTCAATTGCCTACTCAGTCCAAAGTAGCACTTGTTGACAAGAGTGAGTTAATTTATTACTATAATATTCTTCATTTTTTGTGAGTTTTTAAAGTATTCAATATGTTTAAAATATTTAGCTAAATTGTTCGTAAATTTTGAAGTAGCTTTCTTTACAATTGAAAGTGTATTCGTAGCTGTAGCGTCATTAAAAACTTCCCCACTTTTACTATAGATATACGTGTACATGAAATCAACCAGTCTCTTTATCTCAATTTGTTGCCCAAAAGCTTTCATTTCTTGCTTTCTCATCGCATTTATTTAAATATTTCAAAAATTAATTGTCATGTCTAATGAAGACTTAGCGGTAATAATTTGACATAATGATGACAATTACAGATTTATTTCTGTTGCGGTTACCTGAGAGCGAGTGAGAATGACGTTTTTAAGAAAACTCTTCTTTGTGATTTTTTTATATTAAAACATTCATAACTTCTTGACTTTTTGAGACCCCATCTTGCAAAAACTCATTCATTTTAAAGGCAATTTTGTTAAAATGAAATTTCAAAAAGAAAGTTTTTGTAAGAAAATAAAACATTTGCCGATTTTAAGCCAAATCGAAGGCCGTCGCGTTTGATGTAACTAATGATCGTATATTTAAATTGCTTAAAATGCTAAAAACCTGTATGCAATCAGGAATCACAGAATATGAGTTACATACCTAAATGTGAACGAAACTGCGTTGGTGCTAAAACAGAAATTCTTTCCGCTGTAAATTTGTAAAGGTACCTCAGATGTACAAAAGATTCTGTAATCATTTCCCTTAAAAACGCCTCGATGATCTTGCAAATCCTTTCAGTTTAATCACTGGATGACTAAATAAAAGATCAAAGATTTGATCTGCAAATTACGCACTTCATCTAGAACATGATTTAGTTAATAGCCTCTCTTTCTCACCTCACATTAATATTAAGCATATTTGCCACAATACATACATGTGACTTTTTTACGTATAATAATCGTAGCGCCAAAAAAGGTTGTTCGTAATCTTAATGAACTACCGAAGTGGGTACGCTTTATGGCTATCAAATAATTATGGTCATAACTTAATGCTTTTTTTCGCATTGCGTTGAAATATTTTTCTTTTCTTCTTGAATCTGTACAAGCAGAGTTTCGCAGCTTTCCGCATATCTTACCCATCTCTATTCATTCAGTTCCTCAACAGCTTCACTACCAAGCTATTTTTGTAATTCTGGTATCGAACTTATCGAACTTGGTCAATGTTCTTACACTAATTACTAGGATTATTGGGACCATAATTCGGTGTATGCTTTCTACTTTCTTCTTGGAACGCTGGTGGATATCAATAAATCCTTAATTTTTTTCAGTTTCATAATACTGCTTAGAAGATATAGATGTAAGAGCTTTTCTTCTAACCGAAATTATTTGTCGTGTCGACTACCAGAGCATACACGTTATTGGTTTGCTCCATCGCGTCTACGTGATCAACATAATAAGACCCAGCTGAATATCTTCTTTTTGTTTGGGCTCTAAAAACCCTTTCCTCTTCTTTGCTTTTGCTTCTGACAAAGTGCACTTTATGCATCTGCTTGCGGCGTGTTTTATTTTTGATGTATATATGTAGAACGTTTTCTCGACAAGATTCTGCGAGAATTGGCCTTGGGGGCGTGCTTCCCCAATGTTTTCCTCTTCGTTTATATGTGTATGTATTTTCATCATCATCGCTTGCCGTCAGACCGAAGTTTACTCATAATTGGTCTTTGCAAAGTTTGCTTCCTCTTAGTCGTTGAGAGATTAAGTTCACTTACATTAACTTTTAACTCATTTCAATACAATAGTTTATAGTTTAATTTAGTTAACTAAAATGAATAATGCAAATGTATCAGTAAATTAAATGCAATGTGAAATATAATGCCACAACGCTGTTATTTTTTAAAACTGGGATTAAGCAAATAAGATTAAAACTTTTTTGAAATTTTTATTCTTTCTTACTACAAATTTTTTAAAAACAAAATCGTCAATAGTTTTCCAATTTACTTGTCCACATTTCCCAATACATTTTCTCTTTTTCGAAAATTGTTTAAAGATTCATTGCTTGATGACATGTGCTCTTCTTGTCCGACCAATCTGCTGTTGTTTAAGGGTTTGTGTATCTAAAATTCTGCACAATGATTGCTCTTGTTCTGCCAGAAGCATTGACGACTGCGTTCATTCCTCGTTGACACTCGTAATTTACACTTATGCTGCTTCTCTAAAATGCGTCCAATTTTTACAACTTAAAGCTCTGCTCCAGATGGCTGCGTTATGTTCATTGTCGCTCAGAGTCTAGGGCCTGCCGCTTCACTCAGGAGCTAAAGTCTGCATACAGGTATGAATGAAAATGAAATCTTTAAATTTTTCTGCTCGGTGTTGCGACAAGGCGACAGGCATGACCGTGTATGCGGATCGACCCCATTCTTGCTTAAATTTTAAAGTAAAAGGTTTTGTGGTAGTTGAATTTCGTTATTCATACGTACAAAATTTTTAAACTTTGTAGTGTTTGTTGGCAATTCTTTGAGAATGTAAGTATATTTCTCTTTTATTGCTTTCCTTTACTTTTAATTTTCAGCGCGCCACGACATTACAAGCAGCGCCATAAATTCTTACTCTAATGCCATGTCCGTTCACTTAAACGATTACAACGAAATGATCTGCACATCGGTCGCATAAGTGTATAGAGCACTCACTTGCGGCCGAGTATGCACTCAAGTCTACAAGTGTATATCCTGCTTAATTGAATTCCTTTTAGGCTCGAAAGCTAACGGTTATGTTTCACTCAGAAACCGTTCCTCACCTTCTGTTGCGTACTACAATTGTGTGTTGTTGTGCTGCTACACTCAGAAGCCCTAAAGCACCCGCTGCTGCGCACTATGAGCCTATGTAACAGCACGACTCAGATTTCATAAAATTTATGCTGAATAATATATGTGGTTTTGCATCTTGATGTTTTTCAAAACAAATGGAGTGGCCTAAAGTTTATACTAAGCCGCCTCCAAACGGCTGACGGTTTTATATGAGAAGCTTTATTTCATGTTAGAAATACATTCAACCCCTCCGATATTCCCTGCCGAGAAAAAACCACTATATGAAAATGGTTGTAGAGTTAGAGGAAGTTTTAGGAAACAAACGTGTGCAAAACTATGAAGAAAATGTGGAAGCTATGCTTACTACATTTTACGCAATACACGTGAAGATGTCCTTAAAACTTCATTTTCTTGATTCTCATCTAAATTTCTTTAGGGTATCTTTGTGAGCCGATTCAGATGAGCACGACGAAAGATTCAGGAAATAAAAACAGTGAAAGAATGATCGAACGGGAAACCAGGAGCAGGTCTGAATATGTGTGGCGATTATTCCGTGTAGCTGATCAAGCTAAATATAACTCTTACAGAAGACCAGCAAACTTTTCAAAGGATTCAGAAGTATAACTTTTTTGCCCTACCCGAAATTTTCTGAAAATAAAGAAGCGTTATAGTACGGCATATATATTTACGGGAAGCGTAACGCTCAGCTTGTGTAATAATCCATCAGCGTCGAGGAGCACTGCAGTACAATACATTTAGCTTGTTTTTAACCGTTGGCCTTATGTATGTGTTACGATTCTCTATGGTGACATGGTAAATGAAGAGGCTACGAAATTTGCATTTTTAAATGCCTTAGGAAGTA